TTCAAGAAAGAAAGTCTCAGGATGGGTTAACCTGTATTTCTGGATTCAAATCAATGAAATGACAGTTTTAGTCCCATATGGTCAGTTTTGACATCAGGTCAAGTTCACTACATGTGTAACTTCGCAAAAACTATGTCAGACTCCGTAGTTTTCTCCGCCCCCCTCTCCAACCTGTCCAGTGACGACATGTTTAGCAGTATGTCGGCTTTCAACCACTGGGCGTCCAGGTGGTGTTCTGAAAACAACGTAGGATTTGTAGACAACTGGAGTGCATTCTGGGGAAAACATGGTCTGATGCGGAGAGATGGAATCCATCCCACCTTAAGTGGAGCAACACTTCTCTCTAAAAACTTGATCCAGTTGGACATCCAGATTATTGACAATTAACGGTCCAGTCTAGAAACCAGTCCAGGAAGCAGAGTTGTAGTCCTCCACACCTCTCTGCTGCTCCTCCTCTGTTACCCACCCACACCCCATTGAAACAGTGTCAACTCGCCCACGGCTCAAATTAAATGAACCAAAAATCAGTTCTAATAATATAAACCATAAAAATCTGATTAAAATAAACAAACTTTACTAGAACAAAAGAATAAAATCATTAAATGTGGATTATTGAACATCAGATCTCTTTCCTCTAAATCCCTGTTAGTTAATGAACTGATCATCATATTGATTTATTCATAAAGTACTGGTATCTGTTCTGCAGCGGGTACAGAACAATTGACTACTTTATAAAGTACTGAAGGGGCCCGTTATCAAAGATTCTTCTAAACCAGAAATAAGTCCCGGTATATGTCTACTTAGATCAGAGGGGGCAACTCCTGGTCCTCAAGGGTCACTGCCCTGCTTTAGATGATTCTCTGCCCCAGTACACCTGATTTCAGTCAATGGGTGATTAGCAGGCTTCTGCAGAACACGAAGACATGATGCAGCCATTGAATCAGGAGTGTTGGAGCAGTTTGTGGAGGACAGTGGCCCTCCAGGACCAGGGCTGGACTCCAGTAAAGTGTATAACCTTCTTGTGCATTAGTAGTAAAGTTAATATTTTAAAATCTCAGTATCTTTTTATTCAATTACTATATTTTCCACCATATCCATCGCACCGCCCTATAAGTCACATCAGTTCAAATATGTCTAATAAAGTGGAAGAATCCATAAATATGTCACTTTGCCATATACGTCGCATCTAAAATGCATCACCACTGACAACCCAGAAATGTGGGCCGGTGTTGTGCCAAAAATTGATTGGCTGCCAAAATGGCGGCCACCGGAGCATGCACAGGAGGACTTTAATAAGAATTTAACAAGATTAACACTTAAAAACAATAATTTGTTTGCTCAACTTTATAGTAAAGGTGAGTCTCAGTCTAACTTTTCTTGAATAAATGCACTTTGACGGTCAAATGAGCTGCATTTCAAAAGCAGATTAGAAGGAGTAGGAACACGCAGAGGGAGGACTCGCTGTGCATTTCTTCGAAATTTAACAAGATAAGCGCCTAAAAACAATTATTTGCTCAACTTTATAGTAAATGTGTGTCTCAGTTGAACTTTTCTTAATAAATGCATGTCACTGGTAAATCAGCTTCATTTTGTTGGTGCAGTGAAATGAAGCTGATTTGACGATTGCTCCAGGCAGACGACGGTGGCTCTCTATGGCAAGCTGATTGTGTCATTAATAGCCAAGTATACCTATTACATGATACAACGGCATACCATAGTCCTCGACTGTCGTCTAGCAGCTGAAAATGGTATAGTTTAATATTTTCAGTCAGTATGAATGAAAACGGTCATATCTCAGCCAAACTTTGGTTTATAAAGATGGAAGAAATCCATAAATACGTTGCTTCGGCGTATAAGTCGCAGGACATGCAATTTATGCAAAAACTGTGACCTATAGGGCGAAAAATATGGCACTCTTATTATTTCCAGTGTGTGTGCTGAGGACTCGGATGATCTTCACTGAGCGTCCAAACCTTTGAGCTCCAAAGTTTCCAAGCAGATTTCTCTCACCTGCAAAGTGCTGAGCGTGAACTGAGTCTGCCAGGTTTTCATCTGACGTGATCGTACTGATTCTATCTGCAGCCTGCACGACAAAACAAGAAGGGAGCAAAACGAGACATGAACATGCAGAAAATCTTCCCTCAAATCAGACGCCAGGCTCAGACGTGAAAGAAGTAAACATTTCATTTTATGAAAGTTACTTTAGGCTTTTTTCATGTCACACTCCCTATTTTTACTTCATATCAGTCTTTGAAGAACTGACGAGGAGCTAAAAAATACCTTCTCCATATCTTCATGACTGGTGGTGTGACTGATGACGCTGCTCTGCTGAGAGAACATCGGCTTGGAGGTCTTACAGTCGAAGGAGAGCCGGCGCTGTGGCACGCTGATCATCTCCTTCCCATCCACCCTACATTGAACAAATACAAAGAGCAACTTTAATTCTGTACGGTTGAACAGGAAGACATGCACGAAGAAATGAGAGAAAAGATTATAAGGTTGAGTCGAGTTCTCAGGACAGATTCTTCTTTGTTGAAACGTTTTGTCTTTTATCCAAAAGACTTCTTCAGTCAGAAATGTTTCAACATGTCTCTGTGTGAGTGCAGCTACAGCGTGCGCTCTCAGGACAGCTGTTTTTTTTTAGCTACTTTTCCTTTTGGTTGCCATTTTATTTTAACTTGTTAAAATAAATAAATTTGTACACATCTTTTATGATTGTCTATTGTAGTCGCTGTTGTCATCGCGTCTTGTAAATGAGTCCCCGAGGCTCAGTGGGATTAACCTGTAGAACAAAAGGTTGAATGAAAAAACAAAGAAGCATCCGTCCAGAGGACCTGACTCATCCTTGTTGTATCTACGGTACCTGGATTATTGAGGAGCATCAGGAGAGAAAAGAGTGTTTTTTTTTTCTGGTTTGGATCTGAACAGGGAACGCAGGTAAACCTGAATGTTTTTGGAGCAAGACATTTGAGTGTGCAGGAGCTGCACTGTGAACAAGAGCAAAGCTTTATTTTACATTTTTCTTGTCCGATGCGGTGCAGAGTGACGGATCCTGGTGAGTGGAAGGAGCAATTTTATCCACCAGCAGGTGCAATGGTGGAGCCGGGGGTGGGGGGTGGGGGGGGTGGCCTCGGCCACCATAGATTAATCTTTGACCACCTCAGTCATTTGAGGAAACTGCATTTAAGCAACATTAAAACTAGAAAGCGTACTCAAATGATAGGAGTGTTCAGTTCACCTACACAGCGGCATCAGTCTTGGATTTTGACGTGGTGACAATTTTAGAAAAGAAACTTTCATGGAGAGACGGCGGGGGACAATCGTCACAGCCAGGACAAGTTGGTTTGATTTCACATAAACGAGCAAAAACAACCCAACACTGTCCGGTGGCATTAAAGTTAAACAGCTTCTAGGGGTAAATCAGTCGGACGATTTATCGGCACCGAGTTCCTTAATTTTGGGAGATCGGTCGATACTTAAATGAGAAACCGATTTTACAGATTTTTTTTAAATTTGAACAACAACTGTCTGAACTTCATTTATATTCCAGAGCAACTACCTCATGACCAGTTAAAACAAGTTTGTATTGTTTCTAGGATATTGTTCAAGCGTCTGTTTTTAAATAAAATAAGATTATAGAATTGAAGGTGCATTGTGACCTGATAACTCCTGACAGTGACGCTTATAAAATAAAATGGCATCGGCCAAAATCAGAATGGGCAGGTCAGACTTTTTAGAAATCTGTGATCGGACAGAAACTGCAATCGGTGCAGCCCTAATAGCTTCTATAACGTTAATAAAATTACTAACTCGACATTTGACAGGTTAAAATCTGATGTAGTCGTAGCTGAGGCTCTTCTGCAACACACACTCTAATAATTAATTTAAAAATGTGTATCTTTAGAAGTTAACACAAATAATTCCAAAAGGCTAACCTAGCTAGCTTCTTTATGCAGAATACACTTGAACAAATGTAATGTTTTATTTTTGTTGAGGAAATATTTTGTAATTTGGACAGAGGTGGTTTTAATGTCTCAACATTAAAATAATTGTATTTGTGTATTTCCATGCCCATAAACGTGCACTCCACACTGATCGTTAACCCCAGAGGAAGCAGCTTGTGCTGTTTGGGAACATATGAAATGCTTTCATATGTAAAACTGTGATACTTCACTTTATGATCAATTTAAAGTGTGAATAAAGAGCAGATCCTTTAGGCCTCCATACCGTTCTCTTTAAACGGTTTCTGATCAATGTTTGCACTAATTTTATAAAGAAAACAAGACAAACATTTGTTTTCTTAGACTGTGAGGTAACTCGGAGTGAACACGAGATTCTGCTGGTCAGCACAACATGCACTAATGTTGCCAGTTATTTATAAAGGCAGTCTGAAAGTAGCTTTTGTTTGCACGAGGAAGCAGATCGAACTGCACTTCTCAGAATGTTAAACTGGGCCTGCCCACCTTATTCTTGGCCCCATGCAGCTTTGTGTGAATTGTGGGCGCGACTTCCAGCACGGACCAGAACCGGGGTTTGTTTATGTGCTAACAGTACGAGCTAATGTAGTTTCTGTTGGATAAATAAAAATCCTATTATTATCTACTTACTCAAAATAAGCCAGAGTGAGGACACAAGAACATTTTTAACCAGTTTTACTTTCAAGGACTCAATCAGAACAGACTACAGATTTACAATGCATGGATCTTGTCACTGAATGAGCATCGAACAGTTCGCTGCAGACTTATCCAGCAGCAGAGTCCAGCAGGCGATCCTTCATAGCCAGCTGCAGTCAGAAGCATTGACAGGATCCAAGACTGTCAGCTAGTCCAGTGGTTCCCAACCCTGGTCCTTGAGGAACACCATCCTGCATGCTTTAGTTGTTTCTCTGCTCCAGCACACCTGATTCAGTGGTTTAATTACTTCCTTAAGTTCAGCAGAAGCCTGTTGATTCAAATCAGGTGTGTTGGAGAAGAGAAACAACTAAAATATGCAGGATGGTGTTCCTCAGGGACCACGGTTGGGAACCACTGGGCTAGTCAACCTCCAGCAGGAGATAAGAGAATGTTTTGGACATGTTCTCATGGGGTCAACACCAGTGAGGCACTGCGAGTCGGCGAGCTGGCTTTCAAGCTGAGACAAGAGAATGTTTTGTGCACACATTACAGAAAGATCTTCTCAGCCATAATTCAATTCAATTCAATTCAATTTATTTATTTAGCTCCAAATCACAACAAAGTTGTCTCAGGGCACTTTACAGAAATATTCACATACATAAAAGCCAATTAGTAAAGTTCTCTATCTAAGGAGAATAATAAAAAGATTCATAACATCTTAAACATCTGGGAACACCGACTGTCAAGAGCTCCAATGGGACAATAAAAGTAGGAGAGATCACATCTGTTCAGTTTTAGCTTCTCTCCAATGGCTCCCATTTCTAACCTACAAAGCTCTTAACAACCTAGCTCCATCTTATATTACAGATCTTATTGTTCCATATTTTCCTAACAGACCACTTCGCTCTCAGACTGCAGGTTTACTTGTGGTTCCTACAGTTTCAAAAACAGAATGGGAGGCAGATCTTTCAGTTATCAGGCTCCTCTCTTGTGGAACCAACTTCCAATCCTGTCCGTGAGGCTGACACATTGTCCAGTTTTAAAACTTGGCTTAAGACTTTCTTTTTGATAAATCCTATAGTTAGGGTCGGCTTGGGTTTCCTGAGCTGTCCCTTAGTTATGCTGCTATAGGCTTAGACTGCTGGAGGACAAACTGACCACACTTTTCACTCTGCTGCTGTTTTTACTTACTCTGCTCAACCTGTTTTGTATTTGTAATTATTTTTTCTATCCTTAACATGTGTTCTTTTGTCTTTCAGGTACACCTGGACCTGGACTTATACCTGGACCTGGACCTATGCCTGGACCTACATCTGGACCTGCCATTCTGTGTTCGTCTGTCTCTCCTTCCTGTCCTCTCAACCAGCCGGTCAAAGCAGATGGCCGCTTGTCCTGAGCCTGCTGGAGGTTTCTTCATGTTAAATGGAGTTTTTCTTTCCACTGTCTCCACTGTGCTTGCTCAGGATGGGAGACTGCAACGAAGACAAGATTCATCTTGTCTGCTGGATTCCTTAGATAGAGAACTTTACTAATTGGCTTTTATGTGAATGCTCCTGTAAAGTGCCCTGAGACAACTTTGTTGAGATTTGGAGCTTTATAAATGAACTGAATTGAACCGAATTAAAATCATACCACTGCCTACTGCAGATGAGGGATGAAGGACGCCCTGAAGAAGTTCCTGCAGATTACATCTACCAGCATATTTAGCTACTTCATTGACTCGGCTGCTTCTGACGGTGATGCAATGAACAACCTGAAAAGCTCTGAGGTGTATTAGTATCTCCACAGTAATAAGGTCGGTGGTGTTTTTTTTAAAGAGGTGGGTCACAATCTTATACCTTAAAGCAGACATAGAGCCCAGACAAAGCTTTAAAGTCCAGCATCACAGAGCCTGGGTGTTAGTTACAACGTCAGGTGTAATACAAACAGCAGGGTGTTCATGCATTGTAGGACAAGGCAGCTCTTGCAGCCATGCTGCTGCCATACTGCGGAAGGTAAATGATGATTATTCTCATCGTTTTAGTAATTGCAGTTTGTAATGGTAGTGTACAACTATTGTTTGTAAACGTGAACTTCATTTTCCATTCAGGCTGAAAACGCGGACTGGGAACGACAGGGACATCGTGCACTGATGTGCAGAGGAAGTGGAATGCAGGCACAACAAAGAATGTTGAGCTGATGAGGGTGAAGCATAAAAATTTTAAAGGTCATAAAGCCGACCACATTCATGAAGGCTCAACAGCATCGACGTCAGATCCCACAAGTGTGCAGCAGAAGCCACCCCTGAGCTTTTCAAAGATCATAAAGAATCTACAAGTTAAAAGTTCTCAGTGATGGCCCCACCATTTCAGCTGCAGAACGACAGTCTCCTTGCCCGGTGCTACAGAGTAGATGCTAAGCCCATCTCAGACTGAGAAGTTGTGCAAGGAGACCCAGGTACAAAGTTTATCACAACTATGGAACGATGCAAGGAAGCTGCGACTGAGTGTTCAAACTCTGTTGTTGTAGCCACTGGTTTAGTTTGGTCTGGTTGTTCTGCAGCCGTGAACACAACAGGTACCTGAACTCAGCACGGCTATTATAGTAAACTTTATGGTTGTTAAATAAATGTAAACTAAACAGAAACAGCATTTTATCTGCTAAACTGAATGCAAATTACTTTCAAATAAACCGCAGTCCGTGCTCCGTACTGGTTAACCAATGCTTACTGCTACTTCCTGTCTGACAGGAAGTTGTACCAGAATCATTTCTACAGTAGAGCCCCAAGAATAAGGTGGTCTTTTAAAGCATAACTCGTCAGCCATGACTTCTCACCTGTTAAGCAGCTGCTGCATGAAGTTGTCAGAGCGTGTTCCTCTGTACATGACAGCTAGCTGTCCCTGAGCTTGGTCTATCACCACCTCACAGGAGTGGCCCCTGCCTGACCGCTCCACGTAGGCCCTCTCCTCCTCCAGGGCTCTCCTCAGACCCTCAGCCTTCTCCATCAGTGATGAGATATTCAGACCTTCCACACCTTCTTTACACCTGGTGGCCATTTTCACAGAGTCCCTGCCAACTGAAGGGATGTTTATCTTCCACTCCTTCTTCTCGTCCTTTCCTTTGCCAGCCTCAGTCTTGCGGCTCAAAGCGGGCAGTTTACTCTTCTTCAGGCCAAACCAGCTGGCGATTCCATTCGAGGCTTTCTGCTTTACCTCGCTCCCCTGCCCTCCTTTGTCCTGCTCTTGAAGCTTTAGTACATTCTCCTCTATGCCTTTCATCACTTTCTGTTCAATAGCAGATTGTGGACTAGGAGCTGGCTGGAATGACTTCTCTCCTTCAGAAATTGGTGGTCTTGGAGGAGGGGGTGGGAGGCTGTCTCCATACATTGGATTCTTTTTCCCCTTCCCACTGATCTTGGTCCTCTCTTCTGACTTGGACGAGTACCGAGGGCCCTCTGAAGGCTTCCCACCTCTGTGGACAGAGGGGAAGGGTTTAGAAGGTGACTTTGGGGGGATTTTATGGGGACTGTTACTACTCTGAGGACTAGCACTGGTTTTAACATTGTAAGCCAGATTTAGAGAGCCAGGACACTTAATGTTGCTGCGCAGTACCTGTGGAGCATCTGTGCTGGGGGATGGCAAACCTATTTTACTCTTAGAAGCCTCTGGCTTGGCCACAAATGGTTCTTGTTTACCTGTAGCTGGACTAGAAGACGGGGGTTTTACCGTCTGTTCATACAGCTGAGAGGACCCCGGGTATTTCAAACCTACGCTGCTAATTTTGGGTTTACCATCCAAAGAGTCTGTGAATTTTGAATGTCTCTGCTCCTCTTTATGCATCTCTGCTGTCTTGCTCTTCTCCTCTCCATGTGTAGACTCATTCACTGGATTGACAGGCCTGAGGCCCACTTGTAAATCCTCAGAGCTCCTCAGCTTGCCCAGGGCTGCCAGTCTGTCTTTGAATGCATGGTGACTGGAGTCCCCTTGAGGTCTCCCAGCCCCAGCAGCAGGCCTCTTGGGGATGGATGACAGGTCATTCCTCCGAACTGGTGGTGGAGGATGGGAGACCTCACAGCTCGATGCGCTGACCTCCCTTATGTCAGTCTCTGGCTTGTCTCTGGCTTTTGCGCAGTTTGCTTTGCTCTGAGTTTTGCTCAGGGCTGCTGAGTTAGGCAGACTGTGATGATTTACCCACACTGGGCTATCAGAATCCTCATCATCATCATCTGATGTAGATTCTGAAGTTGATGAGGATGACTGCTTTTGCTGAGGAGAAGGACTGAGAACACTCTCTGGTAAAGATTTAACAAGCTTTCTTTCGCCACCGTTTCCCTTTGTTTGAGCTGGAACAGTGCTTCTTTTCTCAAGGCCCTGAGATCGCTCCTCTTCCCTAGAGCTAGACATATCCAGGACATTTTCATAATGAGGGACCTTTTCAGAAACTCTGGACGAGCAAAAAGATGCAGCAGATGGAGGCCCCAACTTTGAGCCAACACAGGGTTTTGGTGCAGAGAAGCAGCTGTAGCTTATTTCTTTAACAGGAAGTGTGCAGGTGTCTTCAGGCTGTGGAGGGGAGGTTGGTGCCGAGTGTGTGGCAGGGTAGGACTCAGATCTGGAGGGTGGGGGAGGGGGCTGCCTGCACCTCTCTGTAGTGGTGGCTCTGCGTGTGGGAACAGGAGAGTGGTACACTTCATAATTGTTAGTGCGACAAGGTATCCTTGAGTTGCGTGTGAGCTGGGGGCTCAGACGTACAGCTGAGGTTGAAGCCTGGGGCTTTTCTCCCATCGTGGGAATCTTCAGGAACTTAAGCAGTTTGGATGGAGAGTTGATGGCAGCAGCTTTGACATCACTGAGGCAAGACGGGCTGGGGCTGACAGATGCACTGGCTCGTACAGAGGAATCCTCCAGGTCTATGGTGTCTTTATCAGGAATGACAGGGGGGTCACTGAGTGTGGGGCTTGAAGAGTGTGTCAAGCCATTATTAACAACATCACTTGTACTGGTGTCACACTGGGAGGTCTGTGAACTTTCGTTGATGGAACTGGGCAGATCGTAGGAGGCACAAAAACTGGTGAGCTCCTCAGAGACACCAGCTTTTAGAGAACTCTCATACTGCTCCACCCCCACACCTTCCAGGCTCTGGTGGATGGTCTTTGTGACAGCTGAGTGGATGGAGCCACTTGCAGGTTGCTGGTTGGCTTCATGAACATTGCACTGTGCGGTTGCAGCAGACTCTTCTGCTCTGGTCTTACTGTGATCTTCATTCATGGCAGCTGCAGGACCAAGGCTCTGATTGGTGGTGTCGGCCTTCAAAAGACTACAGATATGGTTGCATGGCTTTGGAGGACTTCCTGGGCTCTTTTTGCAGTGTAAACAACACACGTTCCCTGACTCACACTTTGCTGCTCCATCACCATTGACCTGCTGGTGTGTGCCAGTATCAGAGCAGGAGCAGTGACAGTGTGCGTGCTGGGATTTGCACTGGAGTGGGACGGGGTCTGCAGTGGCCAACACAGCCTCTGTTGACATTAGCACCTGGCTGTAGTCGCAGAACGACAAGCTTGTAGTGGACGGGTGAAACTTCAGGGGGTCTGTCTCCTCCATTTTGCGCAGGACTTCCAGAATGTGAGCTTTCTTCTTGAAGAAGGGTGATAGGGCCTCCATTGTGGCGGCAGGGCCACGGGGCCCTGGGGAAGCATGTTGTGTGTTGTAACCATTTCCCTTTAGAAAGAAAGAGATAATCATCAGCACACTGCCCAATGTAGACCCTCAAAAAAATGAACAATCAAGACCATTAAGACCTTTAAGTGCATGCATACAGGAAATGAGTATAAATAAGAATAGCAGCAAAACAGAACAAAGGTCAGAGCAGCTCTAATGTCACACACGAGGCGAGGACTGTGGTCTCATTCAGAGCCTCTGATAAAATCTCTGTTTCAATCTTTGCCACTGTGCCCTGTGAAAATCACCTTGGCTTGTGCGTCAGTCGGTGCCGGCTCCACCTGTTTGGCAGATTCATTGTGCTGCTGTGCATTCAAGTCTGGGAGGGGTCCCGCATGAACCTGAAACAGGAAATTCATTAGAATGACTATAAGGCAGACAGAGATCAAGCAGTCGGCCTGACCCAAAATAACTGGTGTTTTCTGAATCTGGCTCTTCCGTGTCAGCCTTGAATTGGCCAACTATCTCAAACTCTCCTGGATGTTATGTGAACAAGAAGCTCTGCTCCCCCTCTCTCCTACCCGCTCCCTTCCCGAGGACATCTGTGGACCTGTGTCAGAGTTGAGCCGGTTGATAGACACAGCTCCATCTCTTATCAGAACTATGGGGACTATCTGGCAGTGTCCACGGACAAACTCACCACCTGCGTTGGCCTTTCTCATGCATATATGTTTTATGATGTCATCAGTATGTTACTGTTTCTGTGTTGAGGATTATTTTTGCAACTTTCACAATGTGTCCCGTCTAGGTCAGTGTGAGATATGATTTTTTTATACCTCCCCTTCCCCACATTTTTCTCTTTTCTTATCTAACAAAAATGGCAGCGCCTCCCACAATGATGCGGCCTCATACACTCCATCTTCCCATGTCTGTTGTTTATGTTTTACTTGGACGGGCTGTACTCCTCGGCTGGGCACAGCCCGAAGAGGAGATGTGGGTCCCCCTTCCCATGGGCTCACCAACTGTAGGAGGGGCCAAAGGGGTCGGGTGCAATGTGGAATGGGTGGTGGCCGAGGGTGGGGACCCTGGCGGTCTGATCCTCGGCTACAGAAGATGGCTATTGGGACGTGGAATGTCACCTCACTGGTAGGGAAGGACCCTGAGCTGGTGTGTGAGGTTGAGAGGTTCTGGCTAGAAATGGTCGGACTCACCTCTACGCATAGCTCTGGCTCTGGAACCAGTTTACTTGAGAGGGGTTGGACACTCTTTCACTCTGGAGTTGCCCCTGGTGAGGGGCGCCGAGCAGGAGTGGGCATACTTATTGCCCCCCATCTTGGTGCCTGTGTGTTGGGGTTCACCCCGATGAAAGAGAGGGTGGCCTCCCTCCGCCTACGTGTGGGGGGACAGGTTCTGACTGTCGTTTGTGCTTATGCACCAAACGGCAGTTCAGATTATCCACACTTTTTGGAGTCCTTGGAGGGGGTACTGGAAAGTACACCTCCTGGGGACTCCCTTGTTCTGCTGGGGGACTTCAATGCTCACGTGGGCAATGACAGTGAGACCTGGAGGGGTGTGGTTGGGAGGAACGCCCCCCCCTGATCTGAACCCGTGTGGTGTTCTGTTGTTGGACTTCTGTGCTCGTCATGGATTGTCAATAGCGAACACCATGTTCAAGCATAAGAGTGTCCATATATGCTCTTGGCACCAGGACACCCTAGGCCGCAGTTCGATGATCGACTTTGTCATCGTCTCATCTGATCTGCGGTCACATGTCTTGAACACTCGGGTGAAGAGAGGGGCGGAGCTGTCCACTGATCACTACCTGGTGGTGAGTTGGCTCCGATGGTGGGGGAGGATGCCGATCAGACCTGGCAGACCCAAACGTGTTGTGAGGGTTTGCTGGGAACGTCTGGCAGTCTCCTGTGAGACGGAGTTTAACTCCCACCTCCGAGAGAACTTCGAACATGTTCCGGGGGAGGTAGGGGACATTTGAGTCTGAGTGGGCCATGTTCCGTTTCTCTATTGTTGAGGTGGCTTACCAGAGCAGTGGCCACAAGGTTATCGGTGCCTGTTGTGGCGGCAACCCTCGAACCTGGTGGTGGACACCGTCGGTGAGGGATGCTGTCAGGCTGAAGAAGGAGTCCTATTGGGCCTTTTTGGCCTGTGGGACCCCAGAAGCAGCTGTTGAGTACCAGCAGTCCAAGCGACATAAGGCTCGGGTGATCGCTGAGGCAAAAACTCGGGCATGGGAGGAGTTTGGAGAGGGCATGGAGAATGACTTCCGCACGGCTTTGAGGCGATTCTGGTCCACCATCCGGCATCTCGGGGAGGAAGCGGTACGCCACCAATACTGTTTATAGTGGGGGTGGTGCGCTGCTGACCTCAACTTGGGATGTTGTGGGTCGGCGGGCAGAATACTTTGAAGACCTCCTCAATCCCACCGGCACGTCTTCCACTGAGGAAGCGGAGCCTAGGGACTCTGGGTCAGGCCCTCCAATCTCTGGTGCTGAGGTCACCGAGGTGGTTAAAAAGCTCCTCGGTGGCAGGGACCCAGGGGTGGATGAGATTCGCCCGGAGTTCCTTAAGGTTCTGGATGTTGTAGGGTTGTGTTGGCTTACACGACTCTGCAATATTGCATGGACATCGGGGGAAGTTCCCCTGGATTGGCAGACCGGGGTGGTGGTCCCCCTATTCAAAAAGGGGGACCATAGAGTGTGTTCCAACTACAGGGGGATCACGCACTTAAGCCTCCATGGTAAGGTCTATTTGGGGGTTCTGGAGAGGAGGGTCCGTCAGATAGTTGAACCTCGGATTCAGGAGGAGCAGTGCGGTTTTTGTTCTGGTCGTGGAACACTGGACCAGCTCTACACTCTCAGCAGGGTCCTGGAGGGTGCGTGCAAGTTTTCCCAACATGTGCTTTGTGGCCTTGGAGAAGGCGTTCGACTGCGTCCCTCGGGGAACCTTGTTGGGGGTACTCTGGGAGTATGGGGTACCGGGCCCTTTGATACGGGCTGTTAGGTCCCTGTATGACCAGTGTCAGAGCCTGGTCAGCATTGCCGGCAGTAAGTCGGGCTTGTTCCCGGTGAGAGTTGGACTCCGCCAAGGTTGCCCTTTGTCATCGATTCTGTTCATAACTTGCGGTTTCTGATTGCTAACGTGAGCTAGCATTGGTTGCTCTGTGGGCTCCTGGCTAATTAATGGAGATTAAAGTAATGTTGGCTAGTCAATGGTAGTTAACTCTACCCATCACTTCCTCATCCCCTCTGTTTCCTTCACCAACATGTCCATTCAGATCTGCTCTGATCACCACTCTTTCCTCCATGGGAATACTCTCTATCACTTCATCCAGATCCTTCCTAAATTTCTCTTTATCCTCTATGTTACATCCAACCTGTGGAGCATAACCATTGACAACATTTAGCATCAGACCTTCTACTTCTACCTTCAGACACATCACCCTATCTGACACTCTTTTCACCTCTATTACATCCTGTGCCAACTCCTCCTTCAGGACCACCCCTACTCCAGTTCTCTTTCTATCCACACCATGGTAAAACAGTTTGAACCCTGCTCCAATGGTGCGAGCCTTGCTGCCCTCATTTTATACTTATATTTATGATCTAGATCAGTTCCATTGGTGCGGCGCCCTTCCTATTTTATTTTTGTCGACCGGGAGGGACGGAGACGAGACGGAGTCACGTTTGTTTTGCCCGCCCATTGCTGCCAGTTTTCATCAATTGGGGGTGGGGGGTGGATGTGGAGTGATACATCAGTAGCATTTTTGCTGGCGGGTTTGTATTGCGCACCATACTACTGATGTAGTGCGGGGCGCAATATAAACCGTCAACGGGGGGCGGGTTTTGGTAGGTGGGGCGCTCAGTTCTGTTGATGTGGCGGGGCGTCCCGCTTGTATAATGGTAGAGTAAACAGCAAAAAAAAGTGATGAATATAAATGTTTTAAATTTAACCTCAAATACTAAGGATTAACACTAGACTGAAATTTGGTCTATTACTTGGATTGCAAAGATAAAATACAACTCCGACTTTTTTTAACTTTTAAGTAGAATTTATTTTTTATTATAACAAAGTACCTTTAAATTGCTTTAATACAGCTTTAACTTGAATAAAGATGGAGACCACATCCTCATTGTAGTGTCATGTAGGAGTCATCACAGACTGAGTTACCTGATAGGGAGCGGTGGGCTGGCTGGGCAACTTCTGCTGAAAAAGCTCACAAAGAGTTCGGTTCTGTCGCTCCAGGTCAAACACCAACATCTTCAGCTTGATACACTCCTCTCTCAGATCCTGCACATCACCACAAAACAAAAAAGGAACAACTTAAAGATGTTTCCAGTAAAAATGTACAGCACAAACAACACAGTGAAGCTTGATGGTACCTTCTGATTAAGCAGAGCTTGCACCACGTGGTTAGCCACCTGATGACAAAAGAGAACAAGCTAATTTTTATTCACTGAGCAGATTCTCATATCATTTTGGACACGAACTCACCTCATCTAAGCATCTTTCGTAAGCTTCTCTTTGGCTCTCGTTGGCCAACACCAGAGCAGAGTTCTCTGCCTGCAAAACACACACGCACGCACGCACACACACAAAGAAGCTGATTCAGTCATATACCCAGGAGTTAAACATTTAACAGTCAACATTGTCCATTGTTGTCATCATTCTTTGTTAAACCAGGTCTCTCTTGTAAATGAGTCCTCGAGGCTCAATGGGACTAACCTGTTTAAATAAAGGTTGAATGAATGAATTTATCAGGCATAAACCCTGTGACACAGTCTTCCATTTAACGTGGGACTACAGAAACGAAGAAGCAGTATGCCGATCTCCCCCATCATTGAGGAATTTGAATAGTGAATGTTTGTAGATTTTAGGATGAGTGTTTTTCTGGATTGGAACTGAACTGTGAATGTAAGTAAACCTTAATGTTTTGGTGCAAGATATTTAAATGGGTTGAAGTTACAGTGTGTAGAAGAACAGAGGGTTTTTTTTGGGCTTGTTTGACATTGTGCAGAGTGACAGACCCTGCTGAGTGCAGGGAGTAATTGTATCCACAACCAGGTGCAATGGCAGAGGGGTGGCCAGTGGTGGCCTTGGCAACCACAGATTCATCATTGGCCACCCCAGTCATTTGAGGAAACTATATTTTTGGAAAAAAATAAAATCTAGAAAGCCAATATACACACACACACACCCCACACACATCACAATCAGAGAGGAAATGGAGGTTCAGATGTAGTTTACAGATTTGCTGGGTGGGTCATCCAGTGACGTAGCTCTGCTGGCCAGTCAACAGCTGCTGCCTGCTTACATCAAAATGGTCACCTGAGAGCAGTTCGCTTAGAACCACTAAACAAGGTGGTCCCATAAACCAGGCTGAGTGGGGGTTGGGACCAGCAGTGGGCAGGTCCTTAACTGGTACGTTTTGGTGTGGAAGCGATGAGTTGAGACAGTGGAAAAGCACCATTAGATATAACTCTAATGACTGCTTTCTGAGAGTTTCATTAAAATTCTTCCAGTGGTTCATTAAATATTTAGCATTTAAAAACAGATACAAGCACACAAACACAATCAAAGACCTTATCGCCTGCCTTTCGCCGTTCAGCGGTGGGTGACAATTAAAAAAATACAACACCAACAGACGGCATGAACATTTGCCACACTCCTCTAAACGTATTCACTGGAAGGAGCACAAACCAAGGAGCAGAATAAGGAGACGCAACGGTGTCTGCAAGTCTGAGTCTGTCACCGGACAGATGTGCAAACCATTCAGTGGCCTTTACTATGTAACATGCACGCACAATGCTGCCTTCTGCACCTTAAAGTGGTCTTCCTAAGTGTGCTTCACTGAACACAGGGCAGTGGGGATTGGGGGTGCAGAGCGTGCTGCATCATCCCCTGGTGGATGACAGAGGAAATACATGTCTAAACGCAATTATAAATGTAAAAAAAACGGTTTTGTTTGCGTTTCAATGATATCTTGAGATAACCAAGTTTAGTAAATCTGTTGCAAGACCATTAACAGTTTTTTTCTATTTAGAAAAGTTTTAGGTGAAAGAGACGTTCTTTTCCTCAAAGGCACTCGCTTGTAATTTTCCAAAAACCATTTTTCACTTTACGATGGCCAACTAACAGGACATTTTTTATAATGTCCTGTGCTGTGAGTTTGCTCACATGGATCTATAGATTGGAGGAAGAGAGAAGGGAGTCTTTTTTCCCCCGTGTTTTTATTTTTATATGTTTTTTATATATGTATAGTTAAGCCTGTCGTGATAAACAATAAATCAATTAATCGCATGATAAATGAAAATTATTGACCTCATTTTCATTTATCAGCTTTATCGTTTCTTCGTGTCTCTTTCTACTGAAGACACTGGATGAGAAAAGGCTCAACTCCGGTTCTTCACTGACCCCTTCCTTTCTCTTTTCTCTTTAAAATCTGTTTTAACGTCCAAAATCGCGTTTTTGGATCATTAAAAGCAGCTAAGCTGAGAGGCTAAGCTACAATCTAAGCTAACAGGCTAACCTCTTGTCAAAGCTCCAAAATTCACAGTTGAAACTCGTGCCTTCGTCTAAAAAGTTGTTTTTCTCTGCAAAAAAAGCTGAGAACTTGTTTATTGATTTTTTTATTAAAAGCTTTGTGTGAGAAATGCTATGCTAAAGAGCTCAAACCACACCGAGCGTCCGCCATTTTGAGAACCAAAAAAAAGGAGAGACAGCCCATGTCACGTCAAAGGGCCTCCCTCCAATTTTTCTTAAAGTCACGATGCTCGCTCCCTCACTATCCACCCTTCTGTTCAAATAGTCTTATACTGCCATCCAGCGGTAAAAAAAGGTACTACACACAAAACAAATTAACCAACATTTCTTCTTAAATTTGACAATAATTATTAATTATTAATTAATAATTGTTAAATTTCAAACAATATCATTTATCGCAATAATTTCTGAGACAATTAATTGGCCAGCAAAATTTGTTATCGACAGGTCTATGTATAGTAAATAGCTGGCTCAGATCTATTTTTTGTTTGTTTGTTAACATCATTATGATTACTGCTCAAATTTAAGTAATATTATTACACATGATGGCTGCCAATTGTTAAAGTCTCCAACCCACTACTTTGATCCTGATAATTATTTATTGTTGTGTGCGTTGTGATGATTCTCTCAGCTAGGGTGAATAAACATGTTCACAAGGACTGGCAGTAGTTTCCATGCCAGGAAGGGTTGCCAGATAAGAAACTATGAGCTTTGACACTGTAATTTAAAATGGTTGTATTTCAACCCAAACTGTCATGTGTGCTGAGTGAGGGTGCTGCAAGATGAGGGACGTGTTGTGTTTGGTGAACATGTGTACAGAACAGGAGGAGTAATAAAACATTTTTGTGTTCATTTGGCAACCTTGAGCTCAGCTGCATACAGCGTGCATGCAGTGACTGCATGTCACAGTTCCATCCAAACTGGTGAATACAAGAACATTCCTTTGGACCTAGGATGTTGCTGGTTTGTTCCTATATGCTGAGAAAGTGTGAGTAGCACAAAAAGCACTCTGCTCTCAACCATTTATTGTAACTGTTGCAGAAAAAATTGATTGCAGCTACCTGTAGTGCGCATGTGCATTTGCACCTGCAGAGTATTTCATACCTCTGTAAGGGAGGGGGGGGGGGGGGTGTCACCCAAAAACCCCTCTGAGACCAGGACTCAGAGATAATGAGGCAGATTGCAGCAGAAAAGCTCCCGTCTCACTCAGAACCATGCATCATGTAACCGGGTCTTAAAATTAAATTTAGACTTTTATGTTTTGAAGTGAAGAACTTTCCTCTGTGACAGTTTTTGTTCTGCTGTAAGGAAACAGACGTGAAAAATCTCAGTTTTCTATGCTTCCATGCTTTGGAAGAGGACTTCTGCTGTTTATGTTAAAAACTTTTGCACACGGTCCCAAGGCTCTGACCTGAAGTGAAGACATGTCTGTTCTTGGTGCAGATACCAGATCATAATTTCATGTTGTGATATTCATGTTTTGTTTCAGGGTTCCTCTTTGTTTAGAAGGAAGTGATACAGATCATTTTCACACATTATTTGTAATTAATAACTGATAAATTTGGTTTTGTAACACCATCCGATCACCCCAGTGTAGCTGCTGAATGTTCCTAAATGTTGTTATTTTCTTCTTCAGTGACATATAAAAAAGGATGTGTGTGCTGAACTGGTATTAGAGATGCATCGATCCAATACCAATATTGGTATCGGAACGATTCTTAAAAAACCTTCTGGATCGTGTATCGGTGACAATGTGACCGATCCATGACTGAGCAGATCTATTCACTCTAACTCTATGCTTTGTGCTCTGAGTGACATCATGCGCTGGCGTACTGACTGAACAAATTAAAGTTGTGTTGTTTTACATGTCTGACTGAGCTTGTGAAGCTACTGGTGTGTTTAATGTGCTGCTCTGGTGCAGTTTTCAATAAATTTGTAATTCAGTACATTCATGTCTGCGTTTAACAAAACAAATGTTTTAAGTTAATTCAGCACTGGCTTTGTAAGCTCAAACATCCAGGTAGACAACAAAAATGGCTAAATCATGTCATCTGGACCTGTTTCAGAAATGGGTCCAGATGACATGATTTAGCCATTTTTGTTAATTCAGCACAGTTTTTCTGTATCAGATCGGTATCGGATCGGGATCGACAGATACCAAACAACACATATCGGTATCGGATCGGAAGTGAAAAAATAAATAAATTAATTTAAAAAAAAAAAACAATAATAAAAAAAAAAAAAAAAGTGGATCGGTGCATCCCTAAATTTTATACAATCAATGTTGAAGGGAAAGACAAAATGTGGGCAAATGTGAGTTCTTCAAGATGGATTCAGGTGCTACCAGCACATTAGATAACAAGAAGTTTTTGATCTGTGCCGTCTCTGGATGTTGGTTTGGTGTGTAAAGTACTTTAGCTAACTCACCTCCAGCTCTCTCAGTCGGTCCATGAGCTCACTGCTGTTGTCTTCTAAGTAAGACTCCACGTCCCCTTCCTCGCCCTCTTCATCTGAACCGAAGTCCCCATCACACATTCTCTGTTCTGTCTCATCAGACATTGTTCTCATCTGCAACAACAGAGGAGTGACAATGATTATCACTGCTGTCACAAACATCACTGGACAGTAGGAGGATGTCCTACTTCCATGCAAAGTCAAGCTGGCATGACATTTCATTAGTCACATCAGTGTATGCTACAGATATGGGTCAAACGGCTCCAGACAGAAAGACAGACTCATATTTTGCTTATAACAATATAAAAAAGACAAAATGGTTGCAAAACAAAACCAAAAACCTTAAACCCAAGTTGGCATGAATTTTTGACTTCCAGATGGTGTGCTAAATGGCCAGGTAGATTTTATTTTTATTTTTTTTCTGAGACCAGGCACAATGGCCGAGCCAGCGGGTGACCAATAGCAGCCTTGGCTACCATAGAATGATCTTCAGGCATCACAATCACTTGAAGAAACTACACTTAAGCAATATAAAAATAAAAAACATAGTTTTCTCAAACGATAGAAGTTATCAGTTTGTCAGAGTCAAAGACTTTATTGTCGTTCCACCACATGTGGTACATATGGTGGAGAGAAATTATGTACACAGGGTCTCAGTTACATCCAACAATAAAATGTAAAAGAACAACAATAACATCTAAGATATGAACTAAGAAAAACATCAACTAAAAATACACTGAGCACTCATAGTATAAAAACATTACATCGAACAGCAGTACAAACATGTGCATGAGTCTGTGTGAGCAGATGAACACATCAACATGACACAGATCAGCAGCAACATGAAACAGATCAGCAGCAACATGAAACAGATCAGCAGCAACATATGGTTTTTCACAGTGATTATTCTAGTTAGAGATTCATGAGTCTAACAGCCTCAGGGTAGAAGCTGTTCCTCAGTCTAGTGGTTCTACACTTAATGCTCCTCAACCTCCTTCCTGAGGGGAGCGGGGCAAAAAGTGTGTGTGCTGGGTGAGTGTGGTCCTTCATGATGCAGGTGGCCCTCTTCCTGCATCTGGAGGTGTACATGTCTGTGATGGTGGGGAGGCTGACTCCAACATCTTCTGTGCAGCCTTCACCACTCTCTGCAAAGCTTTTCTTTCTGCAGCTGTGCAGCCTCCATGCCACACGTTGATGCTGGAGCACAGGATGCTCTCCACTGCACACCTGTAGAAGGAGGTGAGGACTGAGCTTCCCAGACCAGAGGAAGTAGAGTCTCTGATGAGCTTTCTTGATCAGGCTGGTGGTGTTGTTGCTCCAGCTGAGGTTGTCATTCATGTGTACACCCAAGTACACTGCCTTGTGAAAGTATTCCACTTCTCGATTGTGTCCCACTTGTTGTTGATTCTTCACAAAAAATTAAAATTTTATATCTTCTGTGCTGGTCCATCCTTTTGGCCAGTTTGGCTGGATGGCCCAGCACAGAAGATCAACATCATCAGGCCAGGACTCTGCGGTCTACACTCATCTCCAGGCCAGCGGTCACTCTTTCAAGGATGAAGATGTTCACATCCTGGATAGAGAGGAACGATGGTTTGAGAGAGGAGTAAAGGAGGCCATCTTTGTGAAAAGAAACCGTCCATCATTAAACAGGGGTGGAGCCTCCGGGTTCAACTGTCCCCCTCTTACAATGCTGTGATTGCTAGTATCACTCAGCCCTCTGTGAATAGTAAACAGCCATCAGTGTGCTAATGATCCATTGTTAGGCTGATGGTCCTTCTTGAGCATGTGATCAGCTGGTTTTGGTTGTCAGCAGCAAACTGGTTGATCCACTCTGAGACGGTGCTATTTAAGAGACTGAGCTGAATACAGCACCTCAGACTGAGGAAGTCTCTCGGATGAGAGACGAAACGTTTCTACATTTTTTGTTGTTTTGCTTTGTTTTGTTTTTTGAATGTCCAGAGGACCAGATTTAACTTTTTTAGATTTTTCTACCTGGATTATTGAGCATGCATCAGGATATCAATGGTGGAAGATTTATCATAGATACTGAGAGAAACTGTCCATGAAGCAAGACAAACCGTATCAGTTACAGGGTTCAATCAGCTCGATGTAGAAAGAGCCTTTTGTATTTTAAATGTTCCTTGTACGTGGAGAAAAGCAGCATGCTGTAAGGTTGGGCGATAATTATCGTCATATTTCAGAGCATTCTGACGATACTGATACAATTTGTGATATAACAAAAAACAAACAGAAATAGTTATTCATTTGACAAAATTAACATGTTGCTTTGCAGTATTATATAAAAACAAAAAAAAAACAACAAGGGTTAATTTTACTGAAATTACTTTATTTAGTAAAGTATTCAGTCTTAAAGTGTAAAAATAAAAAATAAAAATGATCCTTCTGTTATTTAGATTGAAAAAGTCTACACAAAATATAGATCAACAAAATCCACCACAAAAACTAAAATGCAGGTGCAGTTCCCAAAAAACCTAAATAAAAGGAAAGCTTAAAATATGTTGAGCATAAATGTAACTTACAACAAAACTATGTTGCCTTTAAATAAGGGATAACTTCCACAGTTTGTGACAAGGTGTCTTCAGCTGACCCTGAAGCTTGTGGTGTTTCAGATTCCTCTATTCCCTCCAGCGTGAGGGAAGAGGCAGCGTGAGTGATGCGTTTAGCTTTTTAGCTAGCTAGTATTGTGCGCGGCTAGCTCAGCGTTACGCCAGTACTGACAGGAGGGGGTTGCACAGTTCGGTTCGGTAGTTCAGCGCACTGTTCTGTTAATGGGGTTGGGCACCCCACTTGTATAAGGGGAAACACTGACGTATTTACACCATAAAATTAGTATATCATGATATTATTTATTTTCCCAGGAAAGTCTTTTTACTGGTATTATCATTAACGATATGATATGGCCCAGGACTACTGTACGAACATGACCCGACCACAGTGCTATGGAGACATGGAGTCCAGTTCTAGTACAGTAGTCCCTCGTTTATCATGGGGGATCCGTACTCTGAAGACGCGTGATAAATGAACAACCGTTAAGTAGGAATAGTAGTACAAGTAGTAAGTTCATTTTAAAATGCCTATATATATATATATATATATATATATATATATATATATATATGTATATAGGCATTTTAAACTCTTCCCACACGCTTGCAATATTCTAAACAAGGTTTCTAAACTCTAAACGCTCTAAAAGAGCAGAAAATGTCATGATTTCAGCTCTCTGCCTCCGCTGCTCTTTGCCATCTGCAAGTGCTCTTGGCCACGCCCACTCCTCCGCTCTGCACGCTGAACAGCTGATCAGCTGCAGCAGGAAGTTTATCCTGCAGTAAGGGCTGCACAGAGGTGCAAAATAATTTAAAATAATTTATTTTCCATGCCAATCATGCAGCACATCAATCAATCAGCCAATTGTGTGTTGTGTCCAATCTTATTTTGAAAAATCGCGATAGAGCAAGTCCATGATCAACGAACCGCGAAGTAGCGAGGGACTACTGTAAAATGCTTCAGGAAAGCCACCGTGCAGTTCAGGAGTTCCCAGAGGTTCAATCTCAAATTGAGCTTCAGGCCACATGCAGCACGTTAAACATCTCCATCCAGCCAATGAAAAATCAGAAATCAAAAATAAATAATTGTGTGTGTAAAACCACAATCTCTTATTTTATATTGAAACTGACTTTTGCAGGTGTTTTTTTATTTTGAAGACGAGTTGGTGTTCATGTCAACAGTCTAATCCAGAATGTAGAGATTTGAACAAGATGCAGACATTAATGATTCTTATTTCTGTGTCCAAACATTGAGCTCAGAATGCTGTTTCTAAGGATTGTGCATGAAGTGGTTACCATCAGACTAAAACAGACACACCGAGCAGGCACACGTCAGGAGCTTTGCTTTTTATCCAGGCTCTCGTGGAGAGAATGGAGCCAGAATGAACAGTTTTAGGATTTTTTTTACAAGAGAAACGTTTTTTATTGCTGCAGAACGTGCACATTTCCCTCCACCAGTGGTTGTGTTGATGTTCATTATTTATATAGAGTTAATAAAGTTTAAATTGTCAACATGAATGGTTCACATCCTGAGGATCAGTGCACACATTAACCCCCCCCTCCTGCCACGCTGCCGACACCCTGACTGTGTCCGCAGTCCTCTGCTCCAGTGCAGCCACACTGCAAACCTCAGCACACCCGCTGCCCGTGTGTGTGTGAGCACGGCACGCTGCGGGGCGTGTGGCCCAGCACCAGTCCTTCACGCCGGTGCACCTCAGAGTGACTGTGTGCATGAGCCGCTGTTGATGTGGGTCCAGATCCTATTGATGCATCTTAAGTCATTAGAGCGGATAAGACGGGTCTGAGACTGGAGGTCAATCAGCTACTGGCACAGTTTACAGGTTTTCTGATGAGGACACGTCACACAGACGGTCAGTTGTACTTAAGGCACACAGTTACATTCATATTTTAAGTCCTGAAAAAAATCCTTTAACATGTAAAGAAAACTGTGCATTTAAATGGTAAATGGACTGTACTTATATACAGCCCCTTTCTATCTTATTTCAAGACACTCAAAGCTCTATACAACAATCTGTGCCTCATTGACCCATTCATACAGCTCTATACTAGATCTCTACAAAGATAATTGAACAAATCATTCTAAAGAGACTAATCAGAGCTTTAGATCACATTCATACACTTATGGGACACACATCAGAGGCTATGAGGGGTTCAGTGTCTTGCCCAGGGACACTTCAGCATGTGACTGCTGGTGGATTCAAACCCCCAACTCTTGCGTTGGAGGACGACTGCTCTAACCACTGAGCCACAGCCGCCCCATTCAGCATGGTTTACTTTAACTGACTATTCTGGAAATTCAGCCTTTATTTCTGCTTGTGTCTGCCCAAGTCTGTGTGTGTCTGTTAACAAAATATCTCATAAAAAACTGGACAGATGTGAATGAAGCTGCAGGAACTCAATGGATAAACCTCAACAACTGACAACATCCAACATAAACACATCGCACAGGACCTTTGTTTAAAACTTTTAGTCAACTCCGTCCATTAGCAAAATATCTTGTGAACCAGGGGACATACTTTAATT